CCTTTAGGGCCGAAAGTTAAAACGATTCCCCATTGACAGCTCAACGATTTACCTAAAAACCCAATGGAAAAGATTATCGGACACGGTGACTTGTGCTTTCTGTTCTGAAGCAACAAACAAAGAACCAGTATACGTACGTACCGCGAGTTAACGTCAAAGTTCAAAGACCTTTATTCCATCTGCAGAGGAAAACCTTTACTCCTTTAGAATTTTCGTACGAATCTTTGGTGTGAGCAATTTTCAACAGGCCAGCTAGAAAGTTTCCTGGGTCATTTAGTAGAGAGCTGACGTCGACCACAATTATATGATCAGGTGGACTGCCTCTTACATTTTTTTGGCCCATAGAACCGTAGTCTGCTGGTGATTGACTAAATAAACGTTGATTTCTTCACCAAGTTTGGAAGTTAGTAAATTTTTGGCCTCAGTCAAGGAGGCGTCGTTACTGTGTAGCTGTCTCGTCGACTGGGGACAGAACGTTTGCAAGTCAATTACCAAGCTTGGCGAATAGACCAATGATTGTCTGATCAACTACCAGTACATGCACTGGAGATACAAATACTTCGTCATATAGAAAAACCATAGTTTAAATGTACTTGTGTGATCGAACCGGTATCAAATAACTTGGCACAGACGGTCGATTACTGATTGGTATTGCCCAACCAGATTGGCCGCAACCTTTTTTTCATTTCTGATATGGTAGACTGGCTGGTAACTCCTAGCTAAGTTTTATCACTTGATTCTTTACGTCCTGTAGATTATCCCGTTAGTTCATGACGATTATGACTTTGTTCATAAGCACCCTTGTAGTTGCGATGTTAGTCACATGTTATAAGACAAGTAACACTCTCAGCGCTGTTGATGCAATATTTGGATTTTCTGGCATTCGGAAACTCAGGACCATAGTTCAGGACGTAATGAAACACCCAACACCGAGAATCCTTTTACTTCCCCATAGAACCCTTTTATTTGCCCTAGGGTTTTACACCATGCTCCAATGAGCAATGATCTTCCTAAGTGGACCGTTTGATTAATGAACCTACTATACTGTGACAAAAAGCAGACGGTTTGCTTCCCTCTTACGCAGGTGTCCGTGTCTGCACTGATGACTCTTTGTGTTGATAAAAATCCGCTTTCTGATATCTTGATTGAGCAGACATACGTAGTGCGGAATATCAACCACACGCTGAATTTTTAATGACATTTCGTTTCTCGAAAATTTTGTCAAGTAAGAACGGGGGAGGTGCTTATTGGTTTGAGAACCTAAAGTAGCCCGCATTCTTTAAGCAATGGACTCACCCGTAATCTCTCTTAGGCTTCCACAATTGTAACTTAGGACCCACGAGCTCTTACAAAGCTTCCCCATCAAGGGCAAAACGCTATCAGGCACTGACACCTTAGTACGCTACATTCACAGGTGTTACAAATATTCCGGTTGATCGGTTCCATATTTTCTTCTTGCCGTTTGCTTTTCTTAAGTATATATGACTTTCTTAAGTAACTCCTCAACCATCCTTTTCCTGTTCTTTCCTGATTTTTTATTGCAGTCAAGCATGCGTACTTTTTTACAAGTTTACTGTCGACAAGATGCATAGCCATAGGTTTTGATTTGGGATTTTCAAGAAAAACCCTGTTAAGAAAGTGTAAAAAGTGACAAAACATCTACAGAGAATCAAATTACAAACCGATGCACTTTCTCCCCATAAATTTTGATCTTTTCTTTTTTCTTTCTGCTCTAAAATACATATTACTCACATCTGATAAGTCAGCAGTACGGGCGACATTCTGGTCTATAGCCAGAAAATAAGTTTGTGTCCGAAGACTTTAGATTGTGGTCATTTCTAACCTAATACTTTGCCTCACTCATCTTCCTCAGGGCGATTGTTCTCCTCAAAAAAGAGTGACAAGCGTATCTGAGCTACTGGTAAAAAGCACTTGGTTAACATGTTTTCATAAGCTGTCGCACATTGCACAGCGGTGCCCTTTTGGACCTAATGTTTGGCGTAGCTCGATACCCCTATTCTTAGGGGTTAATAATGAATACCCTTCAGTGGCACCTATTAAAACAGGGGTATCAAATCACCACCTAATGGGGGCACATGACTGCTCAAAATGTGTCAGTTTGACTGTATACCAAAGGTTTGTGCTCACCATTACTTTGATATTGCTGAAATTACTCGCATAGAAAACGGTTTTGAAAAGCAATTTAACGCCAGTTGCTCTGGCAAATGATGAAACATTCAGGTTATAAACCGCGTTCAACTGTTGTTATTGCTATAGGACCTCATAGATAATGATTGCCCGAATGCAATCCATGGACGCTTGGTGAGAAAAAATGTTTTCTCGACCCCCTGAGAATAAGATTTTTGTGTGGAAACCTATGAATTCGAAATGAAAAGTGACTTGCATCAAAACATTTTTCAACTAAGCATATCGGAAGAATTAGGAATATTCCGACGGACAACTGCAGACATTGAACAATCCGTGTCGACGAAAGGTTGAAAATGAAGCAACTGTGATGGTTGTACATTTCGGAGAGTTCTTCCCATGGTGGTGTTTCTAAAATTCGCAAACTCATAATTGAATTACAGTGTCGGAATATGGGATAAACAGCTGTCATTGACGAGTCTCAAAAAAGAGGAGTACAGTTCTGACACCTTTCAGAGCAAGCAATTGGATCTGAATGTCTGTATGGAAGAAAAATGTTTTGAAGATGGTGTCGAATCAAGTGATTATTCAGCACTCCCCTAAAAAGTTATTTTAATCCACGACGAATTACTCTGCCGCAAATAGCGGTGATGCCATAGTTGTATCGAGACCTCTTTATGGAGAAACATTTTTGAGATTTATCTGGATAGACTGATTCTGTGCAAAAGGCATCCGTCTCTTTGGTCATACAAAACCCATTTTTAAAAGCCAACCGTTATTAGTGTATACAGATTTTCTCTTTTGCACCACACGCGACTCATAAGGTTGATTTTAACTGTCCAGTAACTCCAATATTGGTGCAGTATACCAAGCAAAAAACGACCAATACAAACTCCACTGAATTATATGCCAGCCATTGCGTTCCACTTTCCAACGAAAGACATAAACGAGGGATTCCGTTGAATCTCATATCACCACTATCCGATTTTAACATTCAGTGAATTTAGAGTTTTTTCGCATAATTCGTATGTCGCTTTTCAGCAATTTTATTTTCTTTCGAATCGCACTGAGCCTGTAAGTAACCAAATAAAATTTGGCCAGCTCAAAAAATGCGTGGTATGTTTTTTTTACGAAGAAGATGTACGTAAATCGTTTTCGAGGGAATTTCATGAGTTTGTGTCTAGATAATCTTCATACTCCTGAGAGTCCTCATTTTGTCACTCCAGATTTGGGTGTACTTCACTGCCTGTCTGAATCGGTCTGTATAATTCCACAAACTTTCTGTTCATTCCATTCCGTTTGTCTCAGAAACCGCATGTTTTCTGTAAGGTCATTTCCAATCAGGAAACCTTGTGGCTGTAATCATACCAGATGAAATAAAGTGTCTGGTGTCCGCTGAAAACCGCTATTTCCGTCAAAATATGCCCCCATAACCGGATCAGTAACGCTGCACACACTGAATTCAAGCAACATGTAACCTTAAACCTAGGGATCCCAGCTGAGCTCAGCCAAGGTAGCTGGTTGTCGATACGTATCACAGCAATTTATGGATGTCTGTTCACCTCGTTTGATAATAACCATCATTACAAATTTTTATCAACCAAGAGCTAATGTGATCTTTCTTCAACACACTTTTACTTATCCCCTACCCTTTACCGACTAAGTGTATCAGTATTATTGTCGAACATCATCCCCTGAACTTCAAGCTTCTGGTTGCGCAACTAGCGGTACCTGTTTATAAAAAATACCACTTCTAATTGTGTTTTACCATGGCACGTTCGAATTAATGACCTTCAGTTTCTATGATAGTAAGAATACTTATATTTGTTATTAGTTGTGGACTTGATACAACGGGATCTATGCCACTTTTATTTGAAGAATTGTCGTGGGTTGAAGCAGAATTCTAGAGACACATAAGTGTAGTTGTATGGAAGACCATTCAACGAAACTGCACGGCTTCCTTTGGCCCTGTTTTCGGTGGGCGGGGTAAGCAACATGACATATATATATATATATACTGATGAGGGTGGCTGGTGATACATTGTATGTAAGGAGATTCATCCGCGCTACTGGTCAGTAAATTCTAGCATACTGTCGAGTGTCTGAAATGTTACGGGAAGAAAGCCCGGCGCAACAATAATCTGTTTACATATCCATTTGGTATTGACGAGGGGCTCACTTGAAACCCAGCTGAATTAGTTTTTTGTAATTTTCTGAACCGAAGAGTTTTCAGCAACCTTATGAGTAATGTGTTGCGTCTAATACTCTATTGAACTCGGAGATCTTGTTCCGGCTCTTCAACAGTGTTGTTTAAATATATAGACTTTTAACGCTTTCGCGTATCCTTTTCATCTTCCGAAATCCACGAAATGAAATTACCTATCCGCATTCTTTCTTGTACTAACTCAAGTACCTATGTCCATTTCCATAACATTGGTGGAAATATTTGGCGATGCTCTGAGTATTTTCTGAGTCGTGGTCACGAAAAAAATAAACACTTTTTGCTAGCTTTTTCACCTTGAGATTTATTAATCAGTAATCTTGGTTGTCTGAAATAACAAAAGAAAGAAATGAATGTATTTATCAAAAGAAATACCTGTCCACCAGTCATCTTAACACTTCTCCATTTTTACAGTTTTTACAATGTTTTAGCACTCAACTGAAAGCGGACCGTGATAGTCTTTTATCATTTTACGGTAACTCAACCCAAGTCAGAATAAACATGAGGGTTTCAGTATTCGTAGAACCAATTTGTGGACTTATTCGTTTCTTTCAGCACCTAAATACTAGGACTGACATTTTCACTTGTGCACCCATTAGACCTAGCAGTGCCCTATTTATTATTCCAATGCGATATGTCTGCCAATAGCAGTCGATCATCTTCACACTTTTGCTGCTGTGCCAGAGGTCTGAAACGTTACCGAATTTCCTTGCAGTGTACTACTCATAAGGTTTCTGAAAATTCGTCGACAGCCCACGACCGATTTCGCCCTTTTTGGGGCTCATCAGGTAGGCGCAGTCCCCGGATTTCCGTCAACCTTATGTTCTACCTGAATTTCCATTTCTACTCGAAGTTTCATTTATTTTGTGATACATTACTACTGATTTAAACCTGGAGGGGTAGGTCAACAAGAGTAACAGAAGGAGGCTATGCGACAGATACTATTAAGTGACACATGGGAGGCCCTATTGACGCTAGTGACATCTGTGAAATACGCTAAATTTCTATAAGTACACCACAGTATAGAGACAAGCTCCTAGAGTTGTACTGGGTGCTCGAAAGCTTCAACCAAGACGATATATTTGTATTGACCTTTCCTTTTTTGTCTAACAGTGGATCACAAGAGGAAAGCAGCCTGGCTTCCTCAGTTCGCAGCGAAGCGAGCGTCGCTGAAGACAGGCTGAAGAAAAAAGTGCCCAGCTGTTACTCTCCACAACAATCCAACAACACTTCAAGCTCGGCAGAATCTCAAAACGCCTCTCCTGTACTGACCAGTTCGCGCTTAATTCATTCACCCGCGTTGACAGATCGCCGACATGCGTCTTTTCTACCGCGTCGGATGCTTCATCTTCGTCCCGAATATGTTCTACCCGATCAACCAGCGTCGATTCGTGCTGATACGGAGTCTGGGAATGTGATGCCGCAAGGAAATTTGTCCAGATATGAAAACCCCATTGCAACTGAAAGATCCAACGAACCCCCTCCCCCGATTCCACCAAGAACGACACGGTGTGTTGGAACAGTTATTCAAATGCTTCCATCCAAACAAAGGACTGAACCCACAACGCCTTCGGCTAGGTCTCCGGCTGTCCTACCCAGAGCAAAACCTAGAACAAAAGATATACCATCAGAAACCATGGTAAAGCAAGCAGAGAGCCCACAATCTCAGAGTTCTCTATCCCCTCAAGCACCGGCACCTACCATAACAAACAGAAGACGTCGGCAAGGTTCACGAAGGAAAACTCTAACTGTATGTTATTCTGGTCGTAGTGCAGATACTTCTTCTCAGCTCATGGCTGGCAGAGAGCCATCTTTCCGGAAAAAGTCTCCCGCTCCAGTTATTCCACAGTCAGATTTTGATAGCCAGCGAAACACGCTTTCAGATGCGCAGTATCCAGAAGACAGCGTTACTTCCCTGGATGATACCTGCTTTTTGGCTATCACTCCAACTCCATATCAGGCCCATCTAGCTGGAACTTCAAAGCACGGGATGGGTCGGTTCTCACCAAAACAGCAGCACACCGCATCTAACCAGTTACACAAAGGAGTTAGTATGGAGTTGCAACCAGCAACAGGTTTTTTTGAAACCACTGCGGCGGAACACGTTCAAAGATCCCCAAAGAGCGCATTCTCTTCTGCTAGAAGTGCGTTCCGCTTATCTCCTACTTCTTCCGGTAAAAAATCAAAACCAGTAAAAAGTTCGTTTACCTTTAACATCCCGGTAACCAAAACGACGGCCTATTTGCACCCAAATGATTCGAGAAACTCCAAAGTGAAACAGGTCGATGGTTTGACTGAGATGGAGGATTCACGCCGTACGTGCGTTAGGCGACAGAGTTCGCACGCATCCAGCGTCTCTACCGAATCGAACACAGTTGTCTCGTCGTCAGTCGAAAACCCCAGATCAACCTCTTAACTTGATTAAACTAGATTTCTTGTACAGACATTTTTACGGAAAACGAGCTACATAAATATTTCAACGAAGTAAGTGCACACTTCAGCATAGAATTCAACAAGACAAAAAAGACCAAACAGGCTGAGAGTCTGGCCTTCGGTCAATAACAGATATGCAGCCATTCCACAACTCTTGAACATATTTTCTTTCCCTGTGATCTATCCCTTGTGTTTTATTTTCAATCAGTCAGTTGCTAACACATGTCCCCAGTGTATCTCTAGCTTCATATCATACCCGGAAAACCAGCTTAAGCAAATTGACCTTGAATTCTTTAAGACATCCACTGTTTGTTCAAGAGCATTTGTATTTGTACACAATAGTTTCCGTTGAGAACATTTAATTAAAGCCTGGCAACAATTTTTACAGTCACCCGCGTTTTGCAGTCATCAGTTCACTGTGCGAGTCCTTCAGGCGCTCTGAAAGCCTGATAACGAAGAACTGAAGTGAGCTAATTCGCCGGATTCGTTTATATAATTTTTAGAAACGATGTGTGAGCTCCCAAAAAGCTCACTGTTCGCCTCCCTATTGGGACTCATCAGGTGGCCCAGGAGGCATCAGACACGTAACTTTCCGCATAAGAGTTTCAGTTCCTACCCTCCAAACCACACGATTCCGAAAAACTTCGAGCCGGTTGTGAATTTTCCGTATGAACGAAAGCTGCTTTTACCAGTCGCTACCGTATTCAGACGGTCAACATGTCCTTCTCTGGTGTCACTGACCACTTGGATAAGAGGTTTTGATTATTTACCAGTATCCGAATGATCCTCAGTACGTTAACCAGTAGTTCAGATCGGTTTTCCCATGCAACACTCTGGAGGCTTCGGAGGTAACTCCTGTCCGTTTGTTAGCACGTAAATAAGCGCCTGGTGAACATTGAAACTGTTACACATGGATTGGAACGTCCCGTAGATGAGCAACTAGATCGGACAGCTTTCTTTAACCGTACGGGGAGATTCGTTCTAATATAGTAACTTTATTTCCGAAATTACGTGTCAGATTATCATTTCGTTTAGAACTGTTCACGAGCAGTTGACGTGCGTAAGACTGCGCTAAAATAACTGAAAAAGCCGTTTAAATGTTAAAGCAGCATACAAAAGCGTTTTAACACGAACCGGCTGAGGAAGTTTTATGATATGTTATGCAATTTCATGTAGCGTATTTGCGTATCGGTGAATGATAAAAAATTATATTAATTCTGTTGCACCACAATGCGCCAAAGTGGTTTTTAACAGCATTTCTCATAACAAACAGTCTTGTTCTGAGATAGACGATTATATGCCTTCATCATTTCTTGCAGAGCGTTCTCCTCAAGGAATTATATTGAGTAGGTAACGGGGCATTTTGTCCTCTGGAAAGGGCTGCTGCCTTCTGCTACTTCGGAAGCTTACTCTACTTAAGTCACAAAAACCTGACTGTTTGCGGATGCTTCTAAAGTCTTTTGCGATTATATTCCAGGCTCACTTCCAGGGAACTTATACAATTATTGTATATAGCGGTGTCAGTTTGGTGCAATAGAATCATAGATCCCTATAATGACTGCCAGTTTCCGTCAGCAGAACCAAGGCAAACAGTTATCCGATGTCTCATCTATCCACACTCCAATGTGTATTAGTCAAAAATATAACCGTAGAGAGGAGATTACAGAGTTGTGTCGTGAAACTGACTAATAGCTCGTCTTGCATGACCTTTAGTACATCCAGACAATTTGTAACCCGTTTCAGGCAGTGATCATGTGTTGATCAAACAAAATCAGGTAAAGAAAAGCCAAGAAGGTCCGGTAACTGGGATATGAGAATTTGCACTTGTCTGTGGGCTAGTAATTTAAGGCTGATGATGATGGTGTATTACCGACTTTGGTCTTCCTTTCTTGTTTCGGAGACGAGAAATTGTCTTCTGCTCGCTTTTGAGGGGTAATTGATTTCACAGACTGAATGAAATAAAATTTCGTGCTACAAACACTCTTCCCTTACCACGGAGAGCTTCTCATAGCAGAGCCGTTATTATACTTTGTTTCTTCAAACCTTAAAGAGTTTCGGTCGTCAGGAGTGGACCGGACGACCCCGGAAACAATGAGAAGGTGAATATAAAAGCAATACACTATAATATTGGCTAATTAGTATGTGGCGGAACAGTTAGGGAACGTAGCGAAATTTTGTTTTCAAATCTACCTTAGTACTCATAGTCAGTCACCTGGTACGTGAACGGGGAACAGTCTGTGGAAACCAAGGGCACAGTAATGGTTGCTTTCTCGATTATTCTCTGAGGGAGGACGATGTTTGGATAAGCCAATATCCCATCACAAACTTTGAATCCGTCTAATTTCAACACAAACTAGTTTGGGGAAGTTATTTTTCAACACGGAGTCACTAATACATCGCGGCCCCAGTAGGTGCGGCTTTCCGAGTTATAGCTTTAATGTTTTAGGTGTCATCGAATTGCCGTTAAGTACGATTCTTTACGATAACATTTGGAAGGTTATTACTTACGGGGAGTGGAGTTCCGTGGTTACCAAAAATTTTTGAAAGTACGTACAAATACCTAGGTAGTTGTGTTACTTTCCAAGTTTTGAGTACCTAAATGGGTTAGTTGATAGGTGAATTATTAGGATCGATTGGATCGCAAACCAGACCTCAGTAAATCACTGAACAGAGACCCCGTTTGGCAAGCCACTTCTAGAAGTAAAGTTCTTGGTGAACTCTGGAATGTTCATACTTACTCATTGATTGTAAACTTGAGCCAGAAATGAAACGCAATCGGAAGCGCACTCTCTGAAAGTACAATGGTGGACTATTAAAAAAGGACCCGAGCTCACAACAGGTGCTTCTTGCTGGGATTACTCTAAATGAAGGCCATTTATATGGCTGGGTTGGTAAAATTGGGTGGTGTGAGATTGGAGACGATGCAGTATTATGGGGAAATTTCAACGTTCCACCAACCATTGTCTGCGTTTGACTGCAAGTTGCCACTTGCTCGTGGCTTACCGATTGATCTCGTCACAAATCAGTTTGCGAGAAATGACCTCACAGTGCTTGGAGATGATCAAAAAGGCAAACCTTGATTAAACCCGAAAGTAGCTTATTTGAAGCCGTTTGTCACTGATTCTGTCGACTCGGTAGTTGAAGACTCTAGATCGTGTACGGGCGTTCGGTTTCGCTCGCACAAGGCTGGCGAATGTTACTGTGGTGCGCCAAGCACGGATAATTTGTGACGTTTAGTGAGTTTTTACGACCAATTGGCTGCTAATGGAGAGGCCACTGCCCACTTGACATAGCATAGTGCTGTGCTGTTCTGTTAGGATTAGTGAAAAGACTGGACATGGAAATTGCTGCGAGTTTTGATGTTTAACTTTAGTATCAGATTTAGTTGGCTAACACCAAGACGACTTTGCGATCGCTTTTGATGGTGTTCAACGGATGTCAATACTATCTCGACAGACTGCGGTCATTCATCTCGGCAAACTAGTTTAGCACTCCAGCTGAAAATTTTACACAACACAAATAAGGTTGACGAAGTGTTGCATTCTTGCTAAATTTCAATTCCCTTGTCGAACTATGAGGATCGACTGGCAAAAGCCGTTCTATTTGTACTGGCACTGCTATCGTTGAAACAGCCCCGCTTCCACTGGTACAGTTTGTCTAGCAAAGGGAAGGAGCATGGAACTCGAGTTTTGCTCTTATGAGGGCTTCCAACAGAAGTTGCCAGTTTGGTCAAGCTCGAAAGCTGCGATGATCTCTCGGGATAAGCTGCCTGGATCTTCGTCCTACATGATGCTTTCATACCAGTAGCGTCAAACAGGAGCATTCAGACTACAAGCATTGAGACTTTGTAATACAAACAATCTTTTTAAGAGGTTATTTACGAGTAAAGTCCTACTATCTTCTGCGATGACAGCGTGAAAGCAGTAGGAAGTTTCCTGTAAGCTATCAGCATCCCAGTAATGGACTGATGCGATGTTGGCTTCCCCCGAGAAATGGCAGGTTGGAAAAACCACACACTCTGACCAACCAAAGGTTGTTCATGACTGTTAGAAAATTATTCAGTAGATTTAGAAAACAACTAAACCTTAGAGTGGCCCGGATGAGACCCAAAACGCATCTGCTGTGTGCAGCCGCATCAGGAGTGCGACACTGTAGCCTATGCCTAGGCTAGCACTATTCAGCCGGGTAGGTCATCTGTACGGAGAAGGATCTGCCGAGAAAACCCTGGTGTCTTGCCAATGCAACTTTTAAGTCAAAGGCTAGAACAAAGGCCTTCTGACAAAATCCCTCCTTGACCCACTGGGTCAGACTTTTGAGCCAAAGGCTTAAGGGAGGTGCCTGATCAAAAAACTCCCCGCTTTGGCCTTGGAAACCGTGAATTTTTCATTCATCCGCACAGTTCTTTTTTCACTAATATCCGACCTAATCCATACCCAAACAGGCACCGCCGAATCATTTGATTGTCAGTCATCTGTGTACCAACTTATTCTATCCACCTTAACACCCACTGACAATGAACGCAATGAGATTTTGATAGATATGCGAGATCCTTCTTACACAAGAGTTGTCAGCTTCCGTGTCAAGTGGATAAACAGGCAGTGCTAACACCTTGAACTGCTTAATGCTGAGGTTTGCTGCGTCTCTGAAACACGAATACAGAACTCAGACGTGGTCGTGCCTATTGAGACAGGGGGAAGTTAGCTCTTTCATGTACTACTCTCCGTGTGTTCCGTGATCGGGGTGCATAACTTGGGAAGTATATGGCGTGGGAGTTGCACTCAGGTCCAGAACAGAGCACGCTTTACTGGATTGGATTCCATAGAATGGTCGTTTTTGTGCCGTTCGTTTATCCAGTTCAATCATACTGAGTGCTATGACACAAAACAGTGCCTATTTGTAGTGTCAGAATATGCTTCAAAGGACTGCAGAGTGGACGCTGGGAATTCTATCAAACTGTAACCGTGGACATTCGTCAAGCAAGAA